TCTTTCTCATGATTAGTTCAGCATACAGCAAGTTGAACAAAAAAGGAGAAAGAATACATCCTTGTTGGACTCCTTTCTCAACCTTGAACTAATCTGTGTCCCCGTATGGTGTTCTTACAGCTGCTTGCTGGTTTTTATATAGTGACTGCAGCAACCTGTTCAGAGGTGTTCTTACCTCCAGGTCTTTTAGTGCTTTCCGCAACTTGTCATGATCAATGCAGTCAAAGGCTTCTTGTAGTCGGTAAAACACAGGTAAATGTTCTTTTGATATTCTTGAGATTTCTCAATAAATGCATATACCATTTATCAGATTTAAAATTTAGCTGAGGCATGTATAAAATATTCAAAGTACATTCACAACTGATTAACAAACTCAGTGAGCAGCATAATTAATTAGGGAAGTCCTAGATGAAGGTAGAGTTGGTACAAGAGTTGGTACTTAGGAAAACCAGTGGGGAGGTAATTCTGTAAAGCATTCCTTCTCTGCATTCCAATATGATGTATGTCAAAGCCTTTCTTCTATGTATGTATGTATCTATCATGTATTAATTAGATTATTCCACCCTTTTCTTTATTAAAGAACTCAAAGTGGCTTACATCATTCTCCTCTTGCTTTCAGTTTTATCCTCACAACAACAATCTTGTGAGGTTGGTGGGGCTGAGAGTCTGTGGCTGGCCCAAAGTCACCCAGTTGGCTCCACGGCTGAGGGGGGACTAGAACCCAGATTGCCTGCATCCCAATCTCATGCTCTTAACCACTACACCACATGGGTTCTTATATCATCTATGTATGATATGCCTGTTAAACTCTAGGCAATAGAGTAAGAGCCAGTGGTGCATTAAATGTGTGGTATAGCCTTACATTTTTATTGCGATTGTGATAATGTTTTTTACTTTGGCCTGCATCCAGAGAATATTGAATAGAAGTCTTGATGTGCCATGGGTCTTCTTTGATGCTTTCCCTATTACAGACCCTTGTGTTACCCAGAGACCATTCCCAGAAATCAACAGATGCTCCAGAATGGGATTGTGGCAATGGGGGAGCTTCAGGAATTTGGAGAAATTAGTTTGTTTTGTTTTTCCATTTACAAGGTGCATCTCTGAATCCATTTAAATTAAGATTGCAGGGGGATCAGAGAAGAGTGGTACCATGAGGCAGGTGAAATGCCAATTAAAGAAGTTTAGGAAGTTGGCATTTTCATTAATTTTCTAGGATATGTGAAAGGTGGAAGCCATCTAGGATAATCACTTTAGTATAATCTAGAATGATAAATGATTTATAATCTACTCAGTGCATATGTTTGGTATATTATAGTGAGATATATGCGTATTTAGTATATTATTGGGAGATACCTTTCAAATCTTCCAGTAGTGACAATTCTACTGACAATCAATGATGAGATAAAGATGTCATATAATTAGGCTACCAGGCAACAATTCCCATTATGATATCAATGTTGTCATATTTTCCTTTAAAACATTTTCGTCTCATTTACCTGTTGGTAAAATATTTCTTGATCCTTGAATAAAATTAACTTAGCGTTCCTGTATTCTATTTCGATAGAGTCTTTAGTTCATGCATTTGTCTGGTTCAGCTGACTGTGATCAACCTTTGGTTTGCCAATCAGAACAATTCTGCTTGGAGCACATATTCTTCCTTCCCTGTTTTCACTAAAGCTCTTAAATTTCCAAACTATCAACAATGATGGTTTCCTGCAGGGGTGCTATGCTTGGGGAGGCATTCAAGGGCCATTTTCATTCCTGGACCCCTGTTGCATAGTTCTGCCACTGCTACTGCAATGGCAAATTCAATGGTGAGAACAAATGGTGACAACAAGCCACACTTGGTAATTTTAGTCATATGTACAATTTGCCACCAAAAGATTGCCAGAAAACTGCCAGTTTTAATTTTTGCTGCTGCTCAGGCAGCAGCAGAGGCCACATGCTGCCCATAGGCTGCCTGTTGCTACCCATTCTGTTATGATCTTGTTACAGGAAACCATAATTTGCTCTTAAACCAGAGGTTAAAATTCAGATTACACCATTATTTTATAAGCTGGTTTGAGAATAAACTGCTTAGTGGGCTTTATAGGTACACCAGTTCAGATCTAACAGGAAAACATAGTTATTGTTAACCAGAACAAGACAAGAAAAATAGTATGCAAGCTCAAGAGGGGAGAGGTGAATGGAGGGGAACATCAGTAATATTACACCAGAATCAGACCATTCAGTTTAAATGATATAGCCTTATGTAGGGTATAGTTAGAACATGAAAATATGGCTATCTCCCCCAAGTTATCTTATATATGATTCCAGGCCCAGATTGGTGTTTCCAGTAGACTACTTCATGTGACAAGTTAAGTAAAGAACTTTCCAGCAGAATTGTGGGAATCTTTAACATGATAGTACAAAGCCTTTTCTTTTTTTGAGAGTGGAATCACATAAAATTGCCAGGATTGGATGATTGTGATAATAGCCTGATACTGTGATTTATGACAGGTCACCATGTTTTTCTACAAGTTCAAGCTATGATATGCATACTGGCATATATGAACTCTCGTCTTATTCCTCCCACCTCCAGCCCCAGCCCCCAAACTCTGCAATGTGTGTTTTATTCCAGAAATCTAATATTGAACTCAGCAATTCATGAAGAAACTTTTCTAGTCTACCCTCTTAAAACATGGTAAAAATATTATTTTAAAAATATATATTGTTTACATAGATGTACTATTCTATGATACAAGATCTTTTTGTATGAAAGTAGAATTCTGTTTTCTTGACCAAAGCTCTAGTCTTTGTAGAGAAGATATATTAGTGGTCTTTGATATTTGCCAACTGCTGCTGTACAATTGCTGTTCCAGTTCTCCAATATAGTCAATCAGTTGTTCACAGCTGCAGCATGAGTTTCAAGACATAGATTTTCACTTGTAATTCAGCTTTAGCCTTAAAACATAAAACACAGTTATTTTTTTTATATCCATTGCTTTGTGTAGTTGTGTGATGTTAAGCCTTCTGTTTTATATGAACCATGAACTGTGTTTAATATGTTCCCAATAAGCCAGGATTTGGAAGTCAGTTCTAAGCCCTGGCTTCATATCCTAACTTGTTTGGATGCCATTATCTGTAGTTTTGCAATTCAAACATAACAGGGACTTAAGGTCTACTACAGCTTCTATGTTTGTTTCTCAACTTGCATAAAGGAGGAGCAAAGAGACTGTGTGTGCATGCATATCTTGTCCAGATCTGATAATCAGTCTGGATTTGATAATCTGAATGAAATCTTACACATGCAAAATATGGCTTGGTAACTAGTTAGAACTCTAGATTATAGCCAGGACCAACATGTGGTAAAACCCATTGCCAGCCATGGCATTTCAGAGTCCCATAGGGGTTCATTAAAGGTTGTTTTTGTGACATCTTCTTCCATATGACCCTAAGATCGTCCACGGAGGTCTTTCTTGGAGAATCCTCCTTGAAAGAAGTAAGGAGGGCTGTTACAAGGAGCGGGGTGTTCTCTGTGATAGCACCCTGATTATGGAAATTGACCCCCAGAGAGGTGTGTCTGGTGCTGATGCTTTATTCATTCAGCACCAGGCCAAACCCTGTTTATTTTCCCAGTTTTTAAATCCATAATGTATTTTAATTATTTGTAGCAAGTACTGGCTCTTAGGCGTTTTTAACTATTTTATTGTAAAAATGGTTTGTGTATGTCTTTTTATGTAAACCATCTTGAGATTTATAATAATTTGATAGTATATATTTTAATACAATAAAATAAATATACTTACACATCTGCATATGAATTGTTTTTTTAATAAAGTTAGAAATAAGCATGCTTTGGCTGCAATTTTATTTTAATATCACAGTTACAAAGTTGACCACTTTAGGATTTCTAGCTTCTGCTCCATTTAGCAAGGAAAGTCATAGCTTCTTAGTGTGAGTCATTTAACCCAGGACTATGCTGAGGAATCTTTCATTTTCTCTGCAGTAACAAGAGCACATCCTTTACTTGTGTCTTCCATCTCTGACTTCCATTCTCTGTATGTTCTATTACACAACTACAAGCTGGTAATACAGTGTAGCAGAGTTGCAGAAATATATACGTTCATTTTAGTGTGATTCAGCATGATATCTAAATAATATCTCATTATACTTGTTCTAAAAATAGCCAGGAAATGCTTGGAAAGCATGGGTGAGGCACTGCAGGATAACAATGTTGCCCAAGACTCTGTAAACTACCATTATTAAGGAATTAAAAGCATATAAAAATGCCTCGTATAGACAAGCCCTAAATAAAAACATCCATCAACAGATTGGAAGGACCATTTATGCAAAGAATATTGAATCTTATACTAATTTTAAATCAGTTTAAATGAATTTTAGGTTAAGTAAGAGGCTTTACATTTGGTTTGTTCCAGGCAGTACACCCTGAAAAGTTACAGGTTGAATTTAGTTTACACACACTCCTTCTAATTAAGGCTCAACTTAGTCATGGTTTCTTAGTAACAAAAATGAAACATATCTTGTAGTGCACTGTGGCATGCTCAGTTCATGTAAAAACTGGATCTGTGCAAAATTAGCACCAATAATTGAGTTGTTTTCCTTATTAAGTCAGATTTTTTTGTTTGGTTGTCTTACATTTTGTTTGTTTAAAAATGTATGATGGAGAGAAAATTATGTTAATCTATTTGTGAATTTGGCAACCCATTAAGGAGTCATTATATTGGGATAGAAGGAAAAAGGGGACTTGATATTGCAGAGTACATAATTAATTACTCTTGTCAGAAGGGGGAAAATTGACTCCCTTTTGTTTCACAGTTTACAGTGACAAACCCTACCTTTCAGAATATAGCAAAGACAGTAGCAAGATCTATTAGTATATTTTTTAAATAAAATCAAGACTGGAACTACTGTTTGTAAGATTTTTAAAATTCACATACATTGTTTTTGTTTGACTGTGTACCTGTTATTTACTCTGCATTGTCCTGTGTTTCCTTTAGGTACTCCTGAAAGCCTAGCAGAAAAAGAGCGACAGCTCTCTACTATGATCACCCAGCTCATCAGTTTACGGGAGCAGCTTCTGGCTGCCCATGATGAACAAAAAAAGCTGGCAGCGTCACAAATTGAAAAACAACGGCAGCAAATGGACCTTGCTCGCCAACAGCAAGAGCAGGTGAGCAACAAAACATCAACATGTGAAAATGTTTATTTCACACCCAGGGTCTGATAAATTCCTAATAAGCCCTATTTCCTGTTCACCCCAATCAAAACAGGACTGATATTTGTGTATAAGTAAACAAAAGAGATGTAATGTATTTTCCATAGCATGCAGGTCCACCATAGTCTGCCGTTTGTACCTGGAAATACTATGGTAATATGTCATACACACAGAGAGTGCTCTGTTATATATATTTATCTTCAGGGTACCTATGAAGAATGAATAGATCATAACAATGCTGGGAAAGATCTACATTAAATTTTGATTCTCTGTTTCAACACTGAAATTGGTTGTGGGATAAAGATGCACTATGAGCCCCAGTATCAGATGTGAGAGATAGAAGAGATTAGCAATTGTGCATGTTGTTTGTTAAGAGTTCTGTACCACCCTTTCTTAGGAAACCAGTTCCTATTCATTTTAATGAAACTTGTGCCAGAATCACATTGGGTGGATTTTGTTCACGGAGTTGAACATCTGGTGGTAAGGCTGATGGTTGATTTCACCCATACAGCCAAACATATTACCTGCATGTAAGATTTTTGTCCTTGCTCATTCATAAAAAGATTAACAATGTCTTAATAAAGTTTGTCAAAATGATTTGTTAATGCTATCCCCATTAGAATTTCAAAGTAAATACACACACACTCATATACATGCCACCAAATATCAGTAGGGACTAGAAGATAAACAATATTCCAAGCTGTCTAGTATAAAAAAATTAGGAACAAAAGATTCATTACACTCCTTAGGCATTAGTTTCAAATTAATGTGCAGTTTTTAGGAATCTGACATTAAACTAGAATTATCTTTTCAGTTAAATATGTTTTATAGGGTATATACACCAATATATGCTCTGTTGATTTTAATGAGTTGTGACGTCTAGTGTTTTATGTGCTTGAATATTTGCCCACATGTAAGGAATATGGACTCGTCCCTAATGGAAAATAACATAAAGGAATACTGTAAAAAATCAGAAGTTAGAATGTCATTTAGCCATCCAGAGATGACACAGTAATTAACTATTGACACTTGTGAATAAGCTAGCACAAATTAATCTTGACACATTTGCAGACGAGTGATATCTTACAGTGAACACTTTGTAATTATATTTCAAAATGAAAATTAAATGACACTTAAAACTAGGTTGTCATGCTCAATGAAGCGAGCATGTAGCTCAACCAATTGGCAAATAAAATTCAGAATTTGAGCCACATGGTGCTTCTGTATCATCATTTGCAATGTTGAGCCCTATACATTGAGACTGTGTTATGGTGATTGCACTGTAGCATTTTGGATGCCTTTTTTGATCACAACACCATCAATATTAGATGCCATGGTAGTACTTCACTGGTTTCCATAAGGAAATGAATATTCATTTGCTCCAATATTGTACTCAGAATTACAGAGCTGTGGACTTGCAAACTGAACTTCAGCAAGATCACTGCCCATGTTAAACAAAGCCTGCTCTACTACACAGAGCTTCCACCATCCAGCATGACTACTGACTATGGCGGCAATGGGAGTTGTAGTCTAAGTTTATTACTGGATCATAGCTACTTAATTCTGTGTTCTTACCTTTTGCATTGAAAGCTAGATGGAAACCTTCTCAGTGATACTTGTCTGCACATGAATATTGCTTTTTAAGTATGGGTTTGCTCTTTCTACTGAACTAAGTTTATGTACTTTCTCTCCAGTCCCCATCAGTGGATGGCTTGAAGTGGTAAAATTCCACAGTAAGAGTGCAAGCACATCAAGCTTTAAAACCACAGAAAAAACAGTATACTAAAACATAGCATGAAATCTTGCAAACAGTCCTTTTAAGGGGAAAATTCCATGATAGCTGGACAATTATAGAGATAGTCATAATATGACCCACTCTGGTTTTAACTTCCATTAAAGTAGGATGTTTTGCAACGTCTCCTAGTAGGTGTCTGATTGATTGTAAGCTCAGGAGGGAGACTGTGCTTGTACACACACACACACACACACACACACACACGGAGAGAGAGAGAGAGAGAGAGAATGTAAAAATACCTCCTGCATGTCAAAAATTGGTACATCTGAGGAAAAATAGCATTGGTTTGTTTCTCGTATACTAGTTTTCTGTGTCTAGAGGGGCTCCCACACATGGGAGCATTCAATCAGGCAAATCCCCAGCTGCAGTCTGATGTGGTCCAATCTCAACAGGATGTGCTGTGTTAATATTCTGCATATGTAAATTTTCTCTGTTTTGCCAACCTTGTTTATACTGTTCTCCTGTGACAGCCACATAGACCATGTATGTACAACACTATAGTTGTGCGTTATACATGCTGACCTGAAGATCCTTGGGGAGCTCTACTTGGTTCTTCTATATTGATAGTTGATGCTGATAAGTTTCTATTATGCAATTAAAGCTGCTTTATTTGTTGATTTTCTTGTGGCGTCACCATTTCCTTTGCTATCACCTGGCCATGACATTAACTGACATGCTATGAAATTGCTATAAGTAGAGATGTTGCTGACAGGCTTTTAAACTCAAGTTTAAAATATAATTTCATTCATGAAGCTGAAACCAGTTTAATGCTCTTTTTTGAGTAGCACAACAAAAACAATTATAGTTATTGTCTTCAAAATTTATTAGTAGATGGCTTTTCTCTTCAAAATAAAAAAACTGTAAAGCAATAGTAAGTAGTAGCCATACGGGGGGAGGGGGAACCTGCAGCAAGACAAATGAAAGAGAAATGCACAATAACTGAGTACTTAGAATCATACAAAACACAAGAAAGCACAATTCAGTAGCTGTGATTCAGTAATAAGCTAGAACTTCAGTTCCCGTTGTTCCCATGCTAAGTGGCCATGCTGGTTGGGGGAGCTGTGATCGCTGTCTCTGGAGTACACCAGGCTGGGGAGGGTGGAGCAAGCTATTTCCAGGGCAAGCTTTGCCAAACTGTCAAATCGTAACTAAATGGCAGAAAGAGTGTAATGTTGCTATAAGCTGGGCTTCCCTCTGTAGAGAATTCCAAAGTGTTTCTGCAATTAAGAAGACTCTGGAAGCCTAGGAAAAGAGAGGCTCCAAAGTATGGCTTTTTTGGGAGTCTGATGTTATGATTGTCAGATTAAAAGGTTTGGGAATTCACTGTCTGCATGTTTTACTGTCAACCTGCCCAGCAGTTAAGGTCTTCAGAAAAGGCCGTCTTGAGGAAACCATTACCCACAAAGGTCCATTTTTAAAGCATGAATGGAAGGACTTTCTCTGTAGAAAGTGAAATGTTCCCTGAAGTTCGTCTAGAGCAACATTCAGGTCTCACTCGCCTGCCTTTGAGAAAGGGCTTCACAATTTAGCCTTCTAAATGCCTTTGTTTCTTTTATTGGCTAATGTTTATTGCTTAAACTATTGTATGTTGCCTTGATTATATTTTTTAGCAAATAAGGCAGGATATAAATTTTAATAATAAAATTATAAATAAATTATAAGAAGACCCCATGTCACATCTGCAATGTCCAGTGTTTATGTCAGTGCTCAGAATTAAACAGATGTAGGCTGTACTAGTGTTTCCAGTTCTGTTTTAATTGCCTCCATGATCTTTAAAGCTACGTTAGTGAATGATACCTTAAAAGCCTTTTTCCAACCTTTTAGTTACTCCTAGACAAATGGAGTTCAGTGTAACAAAGAAGAAAAATCTTTGAAATTATTATGAGGAATAAGAAAGAACTTGTTTTCACTCAATAATATTGAAATTTCAACATCAGTGTTTTAATTTAATGGAAAATTTATTTCTAATAGATTGCAAGACAACAACAGCAACTTCTGCAACAGCAGCACAAAATCAATCTACTGCAGCAGCAAATTCAGGTCAGTGTGTTTTATTGCTCTCTTCTGATTATGCTTAAATTCCATTTAGGAAGAGGGGAGGCTTTAACTGGGAATTGCTTTTAGTTCCTTAAACTAGCAAAACTTTCAAGGGAAAATGTTTGCTTAAAAAGAATGAAATAAAAATACTTTTGATATAACTTGCGTTTTGTTAATAATCAAGTTTTATTTGAAAGAAGTGCATTAATTTTAAAATGTGCCATTTAACTGTAGGATATATAAGCAGATGTTTTAATTTCTGTATTATGGAGGAAAAGCAATGATCCAATTGTTCATGGATTGCTTAATTATAGTCAAGGGAGAACTGCTTTATATTGATACAGTGGTTAAGGGAAATATTTGATTCTACGTCTGTGTGGCTTTTGTAGGTGGCAATCTTTAAAATTTGTGCACTGTTTGTCCACCATGGTCATCTATTCAGGTTTTAATAGTGGGACAGGAAATTCATCTAGGATAGGGGCATTCAAAAAGTTCCATTCCTGGATATACTTAAAGATAAAATGTAAGATAATACTACCATTTTCTGCGGTTATTTACTTTTTCTATGTTTCATTGTGACCATAGTAATATCCCTACAGGTCAGTCATCTTAAAAAAGGGATAGAGAGAACTGGGCCTTTTGCATACATGCATAGCATGAGTCAATTTAGCAAGTAGTCTTATGGCCCCAGACACTGCCTGGGGGTGGGGGCAAGTATAGAATGCTTTGGATTTCCAAATCCCAGGTTGAAGGCAGTGCACTGACCTTGGACGTAGGAATCCATACTGTCACCACCCTCTCCCCTTGCAACTAACATGAAAAGCACTGTGTCAGTTGCCTGTCAAAGGGGTAGAGGGACCATTGTAGTGGGCTGAGAGGAGAAGAAACTTCGGAGGATACAATGTGTCCTGTGTCCTCTGCAGCCTCCTTTCTTCTTTCTCTGAAGTGTCCCAGCTAGACAGCCAAAAATAGCCATCTAGCAAAAAGGCTTCTACTAACATCCCTGCTTGGCACAGGATGCTTGTAATCATTCAATTTCAGATGCTTATGGACATCCTGATAGGATGTCGCCTTAATCACATATAGCCCAATGAGATAACTAGAGGACAGGTCCCCTAAGAAAGAAATTATATTTGATCTAAAAATGGGGTGGGGACAAGGCATCTCTACCTCTTAATGGCATCTCTATGGCTATGTAACACTGAAAACTGTTTCTGAAATTTAGGCTGCAATCCTAACTAAAATACATTATTTCAGTAGGACTAAACTCTCTGTGAACATGTTTCAGATTAGGCCATCAGAACACAAGAATCTAGGGTGGTGCAAACAAAATTGCTATTAAAAAATAGAAAAAAAATCTCCCCTTGCTTTCTTACCAAACGCGGGAGCAGCAGAGTTATGATTTCTGCTTACCAGTGAGAGCAAAAACTATTTCCACTGACTTCAGGTGGTTTTTAGCTTCCTTCTGTCTGCTGTTCATTCATAAAGCTAGTCGTTTCCTTGCTTATTATCTTCTATTTTATTTTGCAAGCAAAGGTTAACAAGCATGACACTGAGATCAAGTGGCAGTTCCTCTTCCTAGAAAGAGCTAAATTACCTCTGATCCATTTGTTCTATCCATTCCTTTTTCACTAAGTTATGGAATTCAGTCACTGCTGAACATTTTGCCATTTCATGCCAATCCAGTTGTTAAGGGCCTGTTTAGTGTGAGAGACTTCTGTGCATTGCTTCCCTCTCTTGTGTGCTTTGGGAAAACTCATTAAAGCATTTCAGGCAGGTTAAGCATTTCTTTTCTGTAGCGTGTTTGCCAGGATTCTGGTGGGCTTTTCATCTTCTCTGGAGCATCTTGCAAGGAATTGTCTTGGCTGTGATCGGAGCTGCTGGGTCAGTGCCATTTCAGGCATGCAAATGAGTCCCAAAGAAAGGCTACTGTAAGGCAGATTAACTAAGGATTGTTTAAGAAGTCACCAGCCTTAACTTGTTCATATTTAATGAATCACCTGCCTTAACCTGGAGACTCAAGGCAAGTAACGTTCAGGAAACTTATCTCAGCAATAAACGATGGCACGGGTGCTTTCTTTTTCTTGTTGAGTGTCTTTCACACTGGGAGTCCGGCAAAGGCACAACTCTTCACAACTGTTAAGTCTTGTTCCCAGAGTATCCAGTACAAACAGCTGCCAGAACATTTCAGGAATATGTCCTAAGTAGAACAGATGCATACAGCCAGGATTACTTGATAGATGGTGATACTTTCAAGAAGGTTCAAACCCTTACCAAAGTCATATCCTCTGTCTCAGAATGGAAGAGACTGTAGTACCTCAAAATGCAAGTAGTGATATGGAAAGACATTTTCACTTAGAATCGAACCTTGGATGGAAACACAGAGATTATTTCTTCTCCCACCCTCTCATTTTTTCCTGTGTACCCAAAAATGACTCTTCAAAGAGTTAGGGGCATTCTGAATAGTGTAGGATAGCGTATAGGGTATTACCATAGAAAGGTAAAATTGTCCCAAAATGAGCACTGGCACCTTGTGTGCACAGGAGGAGTTATGGCCACAAAATTTGTACTTTTTGTTCAAAGTATAATAATTCCAGATAACTCTGCTGAAAACATAGCCATTTAATGGAGATAATTCAGGCCAGCTACTTTGCATTTTGTGGGGGTTATATGTTCTGTGTTTCTGTCACCTTGTCATATGCACTCACATCTACACATATTCTACTAAATTAGACTTGGAAACTTACATTGGGATTTAGGTTTAATTATAAATACATTTGCCCAGATCATTTGTACTTCACTAGATTTTGCTAAGTATGGATACTGATGAGAGTGACCCCTCTTTTCTTTGAACCTCTTGTGTTTATCATTAGATTTTTGCAGTCCTGTAAATAAGTTACAACCAGGAGTGAAAAAGAGGGTGTTCCTTTTAAGGAGTTATGACTGAGATCCAAAAGAGCTTATGCACATATCTGCTTTACACTAACATGCACACATGTCATACCACAAATTTCTGTTGACTTTCCCTTGCTGTAAAGCATTGGAGTATGTGGTATGTGTGGTGGAGTGAGAAAGCTGTTTTGTGAGAAATACAAATTCAAAGTTCCTATGGGTACATAGGAGCAGTCATTCAGCTCCTTGGATCCAGGCCTATAGCACATAATTAGTTGTACTTTTAAAGTCTTCCTGGACCATAGCCTGAAGCTGCACCACTACTCAGAGTTTTATTATGTGTTCTTGCACTGTAGTTCATAGGCAAAGATTTCTGCAAAATGTCTACTGACAAAACTCATTTGTCAGTTTGCAAAATGTGTAGGTCTCTTTAAAACAATAATACAAACAAATGGATCAGGTATTGCTTCTTTAGCTTTCTAATGACTTGGGCATGTTTTAAAGATGATAATGAGGTTGATGATATTTATTTATATTCTGCCTATTCCCAACACTAGAACTAAGGGAGATTTAGAATGCTAAAATATATACAATTAAAACATTAATAGAAATATACAAAAGTTTAAACAGTAATTAAATTAGTAGAATATTAAAAGTACATAAAATACCCAAATTACAAAAGCTGAAAATGTATAGAATAAAATTAGTTCAATGGAATCTCACAGGTCCAGAATATGCATATATTTGCATCCTCTTGTTTACTTGCCAAGGAAAGGTGTTTCACAAATGCAATGTCCTGAAAAAGCCTTTCAAGTTTGCCATGTCATCCAGTGCAGGAACTCAGAAGTGGGCTTCCAAACAAGTTTTTAAAATTGTAGGCAGATATGTGTAAGATAACACGGTCCTTTAGCTACCTTGGTCTTTCCTATTGTGCCCTGAAGCTTGGGATTCCTGGAAATTAATAAAATCTTTCAAGATGGGTGTTATAAATATGGTGGCTCCCTATCCAAAGTCTAGCCACCATGTTATCAACCAATAACAGCCAGAGGACACATTTCAAGGATACATTGGAGTAGTTTAATTAGGTCCTAAGATGTTGCAAGAGTATAAAAGTTCATAGTTTCAGGTTTTTGGCTGACAATTCAATAACCCATATGCTCCTTCAATGCTTATTCGGGGGTTGCCATCTAGTATGAAGCAGGCAAAAGTGCCAAATCCCTTTACTACATGACACAATACCCTACTGAGAGTGCCCCCCAGCAACATTATTCACAACATCATTATGAAATAATTTACAGTCAGAACAGGTTCAGTGATTTAGTTCATTGATTTAGCAATGTATTATTTTCCATTTAGAATGTCCTTTAAATCTGTGTCACAAGAAGTCCACATGGTGTTGAACTATTTTATATAAAGTGGTTTACTGTGGACATATGGTTTGATTCTTTATCAGTTCTGAATATTTTCTTAATTGTGATGCAAATGGTTTTTTTAAAGCTTCCCTTCTTTCCTGATTATGGCCTCCACGCCCATTTCCTTCATATGTAGTGTGGGGGTGGATTCTGTCCTTGAAATGTTTTGACCTATAACTCTCATCATCCCACAGTATTTGCTCTGCTGGCTGAGACTGATGGGAATTGTAGGTTCAAACCTCTTGAAGGTACAAGTTGACCGCCCTGATAGGGCAATTTGATTTCTGTTGAATCTGTGAAGTTATGTTTGCTCAATGAAACTTAGGTTCCATTTCCCTTTTAAATTGCCACTAGAATTCATTTTCACAAATATTAACATTCATGCTGTGTAGTTTAATATCAACAAACTTGCATGGTCTCACTTTATTAAAATGAGTGAGCATGACAGTAAACAAAGGGGCAGTAATATGAAAAATGACAACTGTTTAACTGTCCTTGAGTGTGAATAATTTGTGTTGTACTTAAAACTTAAGAGGCTGAACCAACAAATCCCTTTCCTTCTCTTTGATTAACTACTGACAATTGAGGTACCTGGTGAGCTGAATAAGGACTATCTCTTTATGTGAAGTGCATGTCTAAAGATCAGGAATAATTACATTCTACATTAGCCTTCATGGCCCCCACAACCTGGTTAATTAA